CGGGCCTAAGATCATCCCTGCATATCAGATATTTACATTACGATTCATAACAGTAGCAACATTACAGGTTATGAAGTAGCAACGAAAGTAATTTTATGGTTGGGTCACAACATGAGGAACTGTATTTAAAGGGCCAAAAGGTTGAGAACCACTGGGTTAGAGTGTCAGCCTGCACACCAAAGGAGCAGAGGTTCCATTCCCAGTCAAGGCTACGTACCTGGGTTGCAGGTTCCATTCGGAATGTGAAAGGCAACCAATTGATGTGTGTGTCTCACATTGATGTTTCTCTCCCTTCCTCCTTCCATGCTCTAAAAATCAACGGAAAAATATCCTCTGGTGAGGATTAACAAAAAAGGCCAATGAATGCATACATAAATAGAAGAACAAATAGATGTTTGTGTCTCTCAAGTCAATTTTTAAAAAATCTACTCTCCAGACCAGAGGTGTATTCAATGATGGACACAAAGCTCCCTCTTCTCATAAAGCCCATTTCTGGGATATGTATGCAGCAGGACCCCACTAACTTTGTGCCAGGAACTTCATCGGCCTTCTCCGGTTGTCCGGTCCAGTGGGCCCCACAGCTCGCCCTTCCCGGGGTGGACCAGGTCTCTTCAGTTGGTGGCCCGACCCGCTTGTTTACTTCTGGCGCGGCACCGCCCCCTTCCGAGTACCCGCGGAAGGAGCTGGAGCCAAGCGCTGAACCCTCCGCGCGCTGCTGCAACTGTTCAGCGGGGGGCAGAGAGCGGGACGCAGTGGTCGGGGGGAGATGTTGGCAGGCACTGCAGAGCGTAGGCGCGACCTAGCAGAGGTGGGAGAGGAGGGCTCGGGCTCACCCCAGCCTGCGCCCCCCTCCCTCCATCGCTCCCGGTCACGCTTAGTCGAGACCGCCTAGGCAACGGGGATCCGGAGAGCGCAGGCCCAGCCCCAACCCTCCACGCCCACTTCGGTTGGGACTGGAGAGCGCAGGCGCACAGGAGGTGGGGGCAGTGGGGAGAGCGCGCTGGCTGGCGAGGCGTGAAGCGCTGGAGCTGCGGGTCTCCGGTAGGGAGGCGAGGGTACTTGGGCTGCAGCGCGCAAGCGCAGCCGGTCTCGGCCAGGGGCGCGCGCTGCTGCGGGACTCAGCACGCAGGCGCGCGATCCTCCCCACTAAGGGCAAGTGCCGGCCGGACATTCGTGCGCAGGCGTCTCTCGGGGAGCGGAACCCTGGGGGTGGGCCCCGGATTTCCGGTCTCGGGTGCAACGAACGGCCGCGGCGGCGACAGCTACTGCTTGAGCGGCTGCAGAGGAGGAAGAAGAGGAGCTGGGCAAGGCCGGAACCTCTGGCGGGAACTCTCGTAATGGGTCCGCGGACCTAGACCTGTGAAAGCTACCGGCTCGGTGCCGAGCTGGTGAGAGTCGGGGGAGGAAGCGGAGAGCGCTCAGGCGGATTGTGGAGCAGGGAGGCTCGCTACGCCGACGGAGGAGGCCCGCAGGCCGATGAGTGGGAGGAATGGCGGCTTCGGAATATGGAGGGGATGGAATGGGGAGGTTTAGGCTGAAGACGGAGAGGACTGGGGCTCCGGACGCTGACAGTGGCGGCGTCGGGATTCCGGACCAGGAGTTAGGGGTATGAGGGGTGATATCGGGGCCTCTCCGGTTACAGAGAGAGAAACGGGCGTGCAGAACCGAGGGGATTACCGAGGACCGCTCAGGAGGATGACGGAGAGGACTGGGGGCGTTGGATCGTGAAAGGGAGGGACAGGATAGCTCATGGAGGACGAGGAGAGATAGGGTGTCAGGAGGCTGACAGTCAGAGATAGCACGGTCCGGGGACAGGAACAGTGGACTGACGGGCGCTGAGAATGCCGAGGGGAGAAGCGGGGTCCTGGGGCTGGTGAGGGGGGTTGAGGACGAGTACGCCGAAGGGAAGGGGTGAGAGAGCTTCGTAGCCGCCGAGGAGAGGAATGGGGGGCCCCGGAGCTGAGACCGGGCGGAGTGCGGCTCCGAACACTGACCAACGGGGGACACGGTCAGGCTGAGCACAGAAGGCCTGAGAGCCGGGCTGTTCAGGTTGGGGATGTGGAGGAGTTGGGACTCTGGAGGAGGACACAGGGAATCGAGGCAGCAGCGAGGGAGCAGGATCAGAGGACATGAGACGGAAGGAAGGAAGGAGGGTAGGAAGGAAGGAGGGAGGGAGAGACACCGGGGACTCCTGGGTCAGCGGAGCGGATGGGAATCGGCACTGGCGTCCAGGGCTGGGAAAGCGGCCCGAGGGCGAGATGAATGGGGCCTCTTGAGCTGAGGAGGGGGAGCATGGCGGTGACAAAGGGAGGAATAGGGAGCCAGTAGATCCAAGACAGAGAGTGGCTGTTGGGCCAAGGACAGGGAGAAGTAAGGAGGAAGAGCGAAAGGTTGCCAGGTGGGCAGTGGGGAGAAATGACAGGCTCTCAGGCGAAGGATGGGGAGGAACCGACCCACTGAAAGTGAGGTGGGAGAACCCTTGGGTTGAGGATGGGGCTTCCAGGTCTAGAGAATGACGAATGGCAAGTGCCTGGGCCCAGGACAGGGAAGAATTGGTGGGAATGGGGGTTCCTCTTCCTTATATTGGCCAGTTGCCTGTGGCAGGTCGCTGGTTTTGCACAAGTATTAATAGATACCAGTGGTTTACGTGGCCTGGGGCACAGCATGTCCCCGCCGACAGGCTCCGTTTCTCCCATTGCCCCCTCCATGTTGCAGGCCCCTGCTCCTTCCTGTGGCTCCCATGGCTGAGGAGTGGCTGGACTGCCCAGCCCTGGGCCCCGGCTGGAAGCGTCGTGAGGTTTTTCGAAAGTCAGGTGCCACCTGCGGACGCTCAGACACCTATTACCAGAGGTACTGGTTGGGTTGTGGGCAGGGGTAGGACTTAGCTTGGTTAGGCAGAGTGAAATTGGGTTGTGGTTAAATTTATGGGTGGGGCTAAAATCATGCATATACATTTGATTATTTGCAGATTCCATATTTGCAAATTCACCTACTCCCTACAATTTGTACCCCCAAACAGCTATGTTTTCATGGTCATTGGTAGACATGCAAAGAGCAGCAAGAACAATTTAAGTAGCCTGATGCACCTGTTCCCAGGTTGAACAAAGGCTTCTATTCCAGCAGTTATACTATAAACAAGTCCTTTTCATGGTCTACTTAGTGCTGTGTTTTTCAAGTTTTTGTGCTGTTTGCAATGGCCCCCCAAGCATAGTGCTGAAGTGCTATCTAGTGTTCTAAGTGCAAGAAGTTTGTGATGTGCTATAAGAGAAAATACATCTACACTAATAAAAGACAAATATGCTAATTGACCGTACCTTTGCTATGCTCTAAGGGACGTCCACCAGCCAATCAGAGTGACTATATGCAAATTAACCCAACCAAGATGACGGCCGGCAGCCACGGAGCTGGAGCAAGGAGGAGGCTTCGTTGCCTGGGCGATGGAGGAAGCCAAGCTTCCCGCCAGCCCTGAGCCGGCTGTGGCCTCCACTCATGGCAACAAAGTTTCAATTATAGAAGACAAATAAATCCCAGATACCTGCTTCCAGCTAGCCTCCACTGGGAGCTTGGGTGGCTGGGGGCTGTGGCCAGCCTGAAAACAGCCATCAGCCACTCACCCAGGCTGGCCAGGCACCCCAGCGGGGACCTCCACCCTGAAGGGGCTGTGGCCAGCCTGCAAACTGCCATCAGCCCCTCACCCAGGCTGGCCAGGCACCCCAGCGGGGACCCCCACCCTGAAGGGGCTGTGGCCAGCCTACAAACAGCCATCAGCCCCTCACCTAGGCTGGCCACACTGTCAAGGGGTGAGGGTCCCTGCCGGGGGGCTTGACCAGCCTGCAAACAGCCCTCAGCCCCTCACCCAGGCTGCCCAGACACCCCAGCAGGGACGTCCACCCTGAAGGGGCTGTAGCCAGCCTGCAAACAGCCATCAGCCACTCACCCAGGCTGGCCAGGCACCCTAGCAGGACCCACCTCCCTGAAGGGGGTGTGGCCAACCTGAAAATGGCCCTCAGCCCCTCACCCAGGCTGGCCAGCCACCCCAGTGGGACCCCAACCCTGATCCGGGACACCCTTCAGGGCAAACCAGCCAGCCCCCACACATGCACCAGGCATATAATAAAAGGGTAATATGCAAATTGACCCTAACAGCAGAAAGACTGGGAATGACTGATTACTATGACACACACTGACCACCAGGGGGCAGACGCTCAATGCAGGAGCTGCCCCCTGGTGGTCAGTGTGCTCCCACAGGGGGAGCTCTGCTCAGCCACAAGCCAGGCTCATGGCTGCCAGCACAGTGGTGGTGGCGGGAGCCTCTCCTGCCTCCTCAGCAGCGCTAAGGATGTCCGACTGCAGCTTAGGCCTGGTCCCCGCTGGCAAGTGGACATCCCCCGAGGGCTGCCAGGCTGCCAGAGGGATGTCTGACTGCCAGCTTAGGCCCAATCCCCCGGGGAGCGGGCCTAAGCCAGCAGGTGGACATGCCCCAAGGGGTCCCAGACTGCGAGAGGGCACAGGCCGGGCTGAGGGACCCCCCCGAGTGCACAAATTTTCGTGCACTAGGCCTCTAGTGTTAAACTTCATTCAGGCTTGAGTTGCAGTATTGTCAGCTGTGAGTTCAATGTCAGTGAATCAAAAGTGTGGTACATCTAGAAAAAGAAGAGGAAATTTGCCAATTTGTACATGAGGCTGCTTCAGAAAGCGCGAAAGTAATATCTATAGTACGTGATGAAGCTAAGGAAAAGGTGGAAGACTGGCTAACTGTGTGGCTCTATGAGATGCTGACCAATAAAGTGTAGTGGGCAGCATTATGAGGCTGAAAGCCCAGAACAGTGACAATCATATTGCTCCAGTTTAGGAAAATGTTAAACCTGTTGCCACTAGTGCTGGCTATCTCAAACATTTCAAAGGTGATATATTGTGAAAAATGTTAAATTTGCATGCAAGGCAGGTCCTGCAGATTAGAAGTCTGCGGAAGATTTTAAAAAATACCTGCCAAGTGTTCTGTGGGAAAGCAGTTATACAGAAGAGTAGATTTTCAATGCTGATGAGACTGGATTGTGTTACAAGGACATTGGCAAAGAAAGCTATATAATGCAGATGGGCTTCAAAGCTTCTGGCTTTACATCATTCAAAGACCACACAGTTAGTTATTTATAAGAAGAATATATTAACTAGGGTGTCTTTACACAGAAACACACGTACAAAAAGCTTACATAGGATTAGTTTACAAAAATATTGTGACCACAGGCTCATAGGAACTCAACCTGTAGTTCTACTAGGAGCAGTGGTTCTATATTCACTAATGCAGTGTTCAAGCTGACTTTATAGAACATAACTACCAGGAATAATGAAATTTGACTATAATTCATAAACATACATACTTATAAACAATTTACGCATAAGGATTTAAGATGTATTTGTGATATACTAGTTATTAAATTTCCTACTCTCTTCTTGAACTTTGTCTAAGTTGTTTTTTTCTGGAGGAATAATAAAATTACAAATATATTTACATTTACTTATATTTAATTTTACACTTATTCACATATTTTTAGCATATAAAACTTTCAACATTTATAAATGTAAGTGCAATTATCAAGAACTGTAAAGGATCAGAGATTTTACCCTAATTAGGTTAAGATAACAATTGAGTTCAATACCTAATGGGGCAAAGTTCAATATCAGTGAATGTCACAGTTTT